GGCAGGCGTGCCCGACTGTGTGTGACCCCATGGGCTGTAGCCCACCAGGCTCCTCTGTCCATGGGATTCTCAAGGCAAAAATACTGGCATGGGTTGCCATTTCCTTCTCCTAGGTGGTTGTTTTTAAGCCTTAAAAATGTAAAGTAAAATCAGATAAGTGATCCTAAGTTTCAGGTTGGGAGGAACACGACCCACATGTAGAGGAACTATTTTGTGTGACTTTTAAAACACAGGAGTAGGGCTGCTGCACACTCTTAGTGGCACATATCCTTAGGATGACAAAAATAAAAAAATTACCAAACTACATCTGGTCTTCATACTGTGGTGATACCACCAGAACTAAATGTAGATAGATAATTAAGTTGATGAGGATAGGAATTAAGATGTTTAGCATAAGGAAAAGACAAGGAGATATAAAATCAAAGAAAAATAAAATACCTGTAATTCTATATCTGACCTGGAAATGTTAGGACAAAGTCCTGATATTGTTTCTAATTTAGAAAACATACATATATATGCGTGTGTATATAGACACACACACACACACACACACACACACACACACACACAGATATCTGACTCAGAAACAGTGCCCCACCAAGTAGCAAGCTTCCTCAGCACCCTGCACTACGCCCCATGTGAAAGAACCTGGGCACTTTAGAGAAATGGCTGATTGCAGACATGGAGCAGGAAACAGATTTGGTGGGGCCTGAAACATCCTGTCACATCAGCAGAGAGACAAACTCTATTACCACAGTACCTGGATTTCGGAGCCAATCTGAAGAGGCTCCCACTAGCAAAAAGATGAAAAAAATTTAACTTCATAAGAAAAAAAAAATGTACAATGGAAACATCAGATATATTTAAAACCACGAGCTCAAAATGATACTTAAAAAAATCTCAGCACTTAATTTTTATGTGTCTGAAATGACTAATGATTTTTTTTTTTTTGCCTGAAAACAAAGGTCAAGAATCAATCACGGATCTTCCTTCCTTTCCTGTATGAACTCAGGGAAACCAAGAAGCTGACAATGGGACATTTCTCTTTATGGAATATCCAAATTGAAACATGAAGGAAAAAGGGTATAGTTAGGATATTGTGTATGAATGCTAAGTCACTTTAGTCATATTCAATGCTTTGGGACCCCGTGGACTGTAGTCTTCTGTCCATGGGGTTTCTCAGGCAAGAATACTGGAGCGGCTGCCATTTCTCTCTCCAGGGGACCGTCTGACTCGGGGATTGAGCCCGTGTCTCCTGCACTGCAGACAGATTCTTTACCACTAGTGTCACCTGGGAAGCCCAGTTAGAATATTACCATTTTGCAACCCTAAGAAAGTGTTAGATCTAAGCAAGAAATATCAATGAATGCTAAATGTCATAAAAGAGAGACACCAGACTCTCTCAATAAAACTCCCAGTAGAACTACCCAACACTACTCATTAAAATGGTTTGTCTATTTCCTACAAAATCTAAGCTAACTCTAATCAAGCAGCAAGATTCAGCTCTTAGTTCACAGGAAATCCAGGGCAAGGGGAACATGTTAAATGACCACCCAAGGCTGCAATCAGCAAAATGTAGGGACGTCTACAGGAAAACACTGCTTCCTCACTTAATAAATAAACACAAAGGAGTAAGACAAAAAGAATGAAGAGGAGACAAAGAGCCTCAAGATTAAAAAGATACATCAGACACATCCACCAACTGCAATGTACATTCTAGAAAGACAAATAATGATACAACCACACAAATATGAATACTGATCAACTTTTAAAGAGCTATTATTATTAAGGAGTTATTATTCCCTTCTAAGTCTATTAATAATAAACAGGGTGTTTTTTTTTTTAAAGCTTTTCAAGGAACATAGATGAAACAAGTTTATTGAAGTGATCCATGGATTCACAGAAATTCATTATACTAGCCTCTCTCCTTACGGATGTTGAAATGTTCCATGATAAAAAGTTAAGGGATTAAAAAACAGTGGAGGCTGACTGTGAGCTCTTTTAAGGCCCAAACCCTAATGACAGAGGAACACGCAGAGATTGATATTATATATGTATGTAGGCTTGGTCAGAAAGTGCAGCCCAGTGTTTTCATCACAGCTGCTGGAAAAACCCTAACACACTTTTTGGCCAACCCGATATATACATATCCATTAAATGTGCACACACGCAGGACATTAAATATATGTAATACACTAAATATGTAAGCTATAAATATACCTACTTATATACATACAACTGGAGAAGGGAATGGTAACCCACTCCGTATTCTTGCCTAGAGAATCCTGAGGACAGAGGAGCCTGGTGGGCTGCTGTCCATAGGGTCGCACAGAGTCGGACACGACTGAAGCGACTTAGCAGCAGCAGTAGCATACACACAACACCAAATATAAACTATAGGACGCTTCTTTTACTGCCCCTCCTTCTGACTTCACCAGACGTTAGATGCATCATCTCACCTCATTTACACCCCCCTCTGAACGGGGAAAACAGTTCTGTACTATCTCACTTACGTGCAATGAGGACTACTTTTCTAGGTACCTGGAGGTGAGAATGAGGATCAGATATATTCAAGTTCAAGGCATCCATGCTGGTTTCTTAAGAGATCTTGAGCCCACAGGTATCTCACAGAATCTCTGATCCTTTGGCCTGCTTTTTCAAAGCCCTGTTAGTTCACTTAGATTTAATTTACTAAAAGTCATCCACATGGAGAGCTTTTACAAAGTTAACATAATATTAAATACCCCTAATGTGTTTTAAAATGCGTCAGAGCAAAAAGTATATCAGATGAGTGGTGGAGGAACCTGGGACTGGGAATGGGGCTCTTTGGGGGCCGATGACAGTCTCTTTAGGATTAAGACAGTCAGTGATGATAGTGCCACAACCTGTGAATACACTGAAATCTATTGGACTGAACACTTTCAAAAGATGGCTTTATGGTATGAAAATTATATCTCAAGAAAAAAAGAATAAATAGGAGCAGAGGTAAAAAAATGTTCAGAAGTTTATTCTTTCATTGAAATTTTTCAAAGCAAAAAATTCACCACACAAGTAATCAGCTAGTTTTCAATTTAATGATTTTCATTTTCCCTTCTCCCTTCCTAAACAAGGTAACAGCAGGCTTAAGGCAATCAGCAAGGACCTCATGCTACTTTAACTGGTCAATTCTGACCAGAAATTAGGAATACTACAGTGTGTGTGCTGTGCTAAGTCACTTCAGTCGTGTTAGACTCTCTGCAACCCAATGGGCCGTGTAGCCTGCCAGACTCCTCTCTCTGTTCATGGGATTCTCCAGGCAAGATGCTGGAGTGGGTTGCCATGCATCAAGGCAGGCTTTTTCCCTTGCTTTTCACTTATTTTTTCACCAAGTTTTTCCAACAATCTGAAGTACCTTCTTCTTCACAGACTTAGAAAACTAACCTTTGGTAGCCAGTGGGGATGGGATAGTTAGGGAGTTTGAGATGGTCATGTACACACTCTATATTTAAAATGGATAATCAAAAAGGACCTACTATACAGCACATGAACTCTGCTCATGGTTATGTGCCAGCCTAGATGCGGGGGCGTGGGGGCTGATGGAGGATGGACACGTGTGTGTATGGCTGAGTCCCTTCCCTGTTCGCCTGAAACGATCACAGCATTGCTGACCGGCTATATCTCAATACAAAATAAAGATTTCAAAAAGTTTGGGGAAAAAAAAGTATCTTCTTCTGGTCATGAACTTCTTACTTTTCTATTAACCTTTCAAAGTCACTTTGAATTAGATTTACTTCAACAAAATCATCAAACCATGTTTAACAGGGCCCAAGAAATATTATGAGACAGAAAGCAAGATAACATTAGCAAAAACACCACAGGAAGCTGCGTCTTAAATATATACCCGTCCCACATGCTTAAGAGGACACAAAGAACATATAAAAGCAACTAGCGGTGCTACAAATTTAAAATAAAATGTGTTCAAGAGGAGACATCAGATCAGCAGAGTAGGCCTGTTTGAGAAAGATAAAAACTTATCAAGGGAAACACATCAAGGAAGACTTGTCTAAAAGCACGTGACAACCTACAGATTTATTTGATACTTCCTGCTCAAACACAGCAGAAAACTCCTGCAACCTCTCTTTTTAACAAGTGAGTTGGTGCTTGTCATTGTTCAGTCGCTCAGTTGTGTCCGACTCTTTGTGACCCCATGGACTGCAACACATCAGGCTTCCCTGTCCTTCACCATCTCCTGGAGCTTGCTCAAACTCATGTCCATTGAGTCAGTGATGCCATCCAACCATCTCATCCTCTGTTGTCCCCTTCTTCTCCTGCCCTCAATCTTTCCAAGCCTCAGGGTCCTTTCCCAAAGAGTGGGCTCTTCACATCAGGTGGCCAAAGTATTAGAATAAGGTATAATATCCAACGACTGTTCTGTTCAGGTAGGAGGGAGCCTCTGGGCAGACAGTCCAAAAGCAGACCCTCTACATGCAGAGGAAGGGCAGGTGAGTGCCCCAGAGCCTGGGAGACTAGTCCAGTCTGTCTTCACACTGCAGGAGGGCCAGGAGCCCCCAAAACCAGGGTCTACTGTTCAGTGGGAGACCACTGGCAGGGAATATGAGGGCTTTCCAGGAATTCCAGGACCGGGGAGAGAGGCAGGAATTCGGGACAACTCTAGATCTGGTCACATTCCCACCATCTTTGCTGAAATGACAGACCTTAAAGAATCAGTTCTTCTACTTAACTGACTGGGGAGGGTGGTCAGAGTGGACTGAATGACAGACATGAACATGTTGTAATCACCAATGCTATCTGACCAATGATGTGCCTGCCAGCTAGAAGAAAATGCTTTGGGCACGAAATTCTTAGGCCGATGCCACAAGAAAAAAGCAGTTTAAAATTCACTGAAACGCCAATGCTGTTATGATATGTTGGGTGAGTTAGTTTATAGTTTAGTATTTTGGACTCTGACATTGTATCAATGTACAAGGAACAATGAAGCAGATTAGAAAGTTAAACTTTACCTGAAAGGTATGCAACTTTTTCCTTTAAAATTGGCAAAACATCCATAGCTTTCATTTCATCGTTTTTTCGAAACCCTGAAAGACAAAGGAGAAAATACAATGACTGGGCTGCCTGAGTGTCATTTAATTTCTGAACCACCCTTATCTCCAATGCCAACACAGCTGCTTTCTTTACACCCATGAAGTTAACTTTTTATTCTATGAAGTCTCTGATCCTCCTTTAATGAGGAAGAGTAACGTGCAGACCCAGACCCAGAGGCTCCCATACCAAGCAGGCTCTCTCTACAGCCTTAAATAAAGAATCAGTCCCCAAAAGACTAGATGTGAAATCAGTCCAGATTGTTTCACAAATCTTCGGTTGTAATTCCATGATTAACATAAACACTAGCAAATAAAGTAGCAACATTGTTTAAAAAAACAACAACTATGATTCGTGCACACTAAATCCTCTAGGGGGAGCTCGAAGCCTCATCCTATCTGTGAATCTGGTTAAAAACAGAAGTGTCAGGGAGCAGAGCAGGGATTGTAAATAGCTGGGGACCGGCCACCGCTCCCTCGCGGCTCTGTCCTTCCAGGTTTTCCGGGCCATGCCTCCCTGGAGGGATGTCACTGGCGAATGTGGCAAGATGGCCTGGTGTCACCTGCCTCACAGGGTGGCCCAGATCCCTCTTATCACATCAAACCAACTCTCCCCACGCCCCCGCCACCATCGTCGAAGGCCAAGCGGAAACACTCTGGCCAGGAAGCACACAGCAGGCAGTTTAGGACAAGCCAATGTCCATCTACACCAAGGGAACCCTGGCACCCCAAACATGTCCGGCCGAAGCTCTCTAGGGTGGCTGCACACACGGGAGTTTGGGGTCAGGATGTTCACACTTGTAATAACGCCTTGGGATTTTTCTCTTGGAGGTCTCTACAGGCGTCATCCAGGTTCAAGATATTGGCCACTGTCATCAAAGCCAGTGACTGTGGGAGGTTCAAGAGGGAGGGGACATACGTATGCCTAAGGCCGCTTCAGGTCGACATACGGCAGAGACCAGCATAACATTGTGGAGCAATTACCCTCCAATTAAAAATAAATAAACTTAAATCTAAAAAAAAAATTAAAAAAAAAAAAAACCCAGTAATTGTCATTCATGGCAGAGCAATCTCTTGAAAAAAACTAAAGACTACTGGCCCCAACCCTATCTTCCTGTTTTTATCAAAACAGTTCAAGGAAAGGATCCAAACTGTGAGTTGGTAATAGCCAATGGAAGGCGCAGACCTGGAAGCCGGGGCAAGAAAAAATGCTCCTGGTAAGTGATCAGAGCTTCCATGTCTCATGTGCCTGAGCAGTTCCTACAGACCAGCCCTGCCAGAGATGACACCTGGGAAAACCGCCTGGTCAAGGTACAGACAGGAGAGGGGCCAAAAGCAGGAGAGAGGAAGTCCCCTTCTAAGGACTGGAGGGCAGGGCCCGGCCTAGGCCACCTGGAGCTGCTGAAACAAGTCAGGACACAGCTCAGGGCAACCTTGGCAGCTCCCACCACGAGGGGAAACAGATGAACAGGTAAGCAGCAGAAGGGGAGCCTCAAAGCATGTGGATAAACTCTGAGCTCGCAGGTTCAGGGCAAGCTCCCTGCAGCCCCAGCCCCCAGATCAGGATAAGGACCAGGACCTGACTCGAGGCTGGAGTCCAGCCTGCTGAAACAAGCACGCAAACAGCAACCGCACCGGCCCCTTTGGGAGAAGTGGAGCAGGATCTAGTCTCTACAACATATCATTCACAGAAGCAAAGAATGCGTAGATTAGTAACAACCCTGTCCACAGAATACCTATGTAGGAAGCACCCAATGTAACAGGATGCAACTAGTCGCAAAGAGTCCAACCCAACTCAGCGACTAGACAACAACAAAATCATGGACGTTGAAATGCCCAAGGGCTTAGCACACTACCCAGCTGGCTGAGAAAGGGCTGGCTCGACACAGAACGCAGGCCTCCACATCGCCAGCCTTCTTTGCTTTCCAGTATACCCTGCCTTGTACTGGCAACCCACCAAGCTTTTAAAACAGGGGCTATTTATAAAAGGCAAGACAGGAGCCAAGCGGTCTGCAATTTCATCCTTAAGCTTCCTTCAAAAACCCTTGAATGGACGCAACGTCGTCTCAGGAGTTCATTGCCCATTGTTGGTGGTTCACTGCGTGTGTCCATAAAGACTGACAACACCCCAGTTCCAGCCGATATGAATATGGACGGCATCGGGGGGTGGCAAATAGAGGAATCGGGCACCACGGCAGTCTTCCTGGAGACGAGCTCGTAAGTACCTGCAGGGCAGGGCGCAGGATGGAAAGTTCTGGAGGCTGCACGTGGCACCCAGGTGGCAAGGAGGAGAAGATCAAATGACAGGATGCTTAAAGGGAGCAAGCCGTGGCTGCAGATCCTCACTCACGGGGGGTTTGAAAAGAGGATCCCCTTCCACCATCATCAGATAAGAAAACGCTGCTTCTGGCCGTTCCCTCAACAGCCTGTGCCTGCAGGCACCCTGGCCAGGACAGGGCAGAGCCTTCGGGGAGATGTCACCTCCACGGCTGTCCTGGACTCCACACCACAGCAGCAGGCACTGCCTGTCACACAACCCTCAGCAAGAAGGTCCCGATTCCTGGGCAGGGACCCCAGGAGAGGCCGGGGTCCTTGACAATTCCCGCCGACTTGGAGCTACACTATTTATTAACCACCTTGATGGCGTGAACGATGCTAGTTGGAGCTGCCGTGTTTCCAGCCACCCCACAGGAAGACAATTGTACTGATGGGAAAACAAAGTGAAGGAAACAAAATACCCTTCACCTGCCTTGCCCCACCATAGGCCACAGACTGGCTCCCGTGGATCCTCAGTGTCTTAAAGTAGCTACTCTAGCCAACCAGTTCCTGAATCGCTTCTCTAGATTAAGGAAGATTCACCATTTTTCCAGAGGAAGAAAGACACGTGAGTCAATGGCTAAATTGGTGTGGAAATGCACTTAACTTTTATCATGATACATGTCCCAACATAGACTAGAAGGTAAATTCTAAATAGTTTCACTGCAATATTTTTGTTGAATATGCCACAGAAAAAGAGATGAGAATGTTATTAAAATTGACAACGAAAACATCTACAACAGAAAAGAGGAAAACAAACAAAAAAAGAGAACCATAAAACTAACCACACAAAGATACTGAGTTTGTGGCTATTATTAGGCGGTCACCTAAGCATTATGTTTAACCCGGTTTCCATTTTTAAAAACAGGCAAAAGACGGAGGCAGCCTGTACACACTCTAAAGCCAGATTAAATATATCATGTAACTTTCAATAAAAAGCCGGAAGAACTCAGCCATGAAATGTCCTCAGATCAAAAGGCAGATTCTGTTCCAGACCCTGAAGAGCTATTTATGAAAATGGAGCGCATGACTACAAAAAATTTACAAATAAATGGCTTCTGGGCTATTCCAGTGATTCCAGACTACACTACAGATAGGATAACTCCTACTGCCTGGCTTCCTAATACATAAAAGGACCAAGCTGTGGCTCCTAAACTTGTGGAACAGAGGATACACCCAACAACCATGCTGGAAGCACACGTCTGTCCTTCCACACTCTCAGCATTCTGGGGAAAGGACTGGTGGATGCCATCTCAGAGTGACAACCGTGAGACCCCAGACCACACCACACCAGTGCCACAGACCAGGTAACTCAGCACTTTACTTCCAAGGGCCACCAAACTTCACAGAGAGAATTTCAGGACATCAGTCCTGAATATTCACTGGAAGGACTGATAATGAAGCTGAAACTCCAATCCTCTGGCCACCTCAGGCGAAGAGCTGACTCACTGGAAAAGACCCTGATGCTGGGAAAGACTGAAGGCGGGAGAAGGGGATGACAGAGGATGAGATGGTTGGATGGCAACACCAGCTTGATGGACATGAGTTTGAATAAGCTCCTGGAGTTCATGATGGACTGGCATGCTGCAGTCCATGGGGTTGCAAAGAGTCAGACACAACTGAGTGACTAAACTGAGGAAAGAAAGGGCAAAAAAAAAAGAAGAGAAAAGCAATGTGAGTGGGGAAAATTAACAGAGGTAAATGGCCAAAGTCAGAGGAGGTGTAGTTGTACCATTTCGTAAATTACCTACTTTTCCAATTACCCAAGCCTATACGGAAGTGTGTGTGGAGAGACTGGACACTTGTTACAATTTCAAGTACATTTTGCTAAGACAGAAAAGCCCATGTGAATTTTAATGAAATGCTACTTCAGGGCATGGTGAAGATGCAGTCAGCCAAAGCTCACCCAGGTCCTTCTTGGTACAAAGGGTGTGTCCCAGGGGAGGCCTAAAAGGCAGGCAACAACTGCTTTCTTAAACCAAATGTGAAAGAAATTTGACCAGAATGTTCATATTACTCTAGATCTTGATGTTTGTTGAATGCTATTGGGGGGGGGGGGGGGGGGGGGGGCGCCCTACAAATCTGATTTCATCATTGTGAACATAAATGTGCGGTTAGTGGTTGATGACCTTCTTTCCTCGTTCCTGGTTTCAGTCAACACAAATAACGCCTTTTCCTTCAAGTAATCATATTTGAATATTCAGAGACTTTAACATTTTCATTTAAAAATATCTCAAACCCCACCCTCCAGGTTCAGCATGATGTAACTTGCCAAAATTGATTCTGCTATCACCTTTCAGATTGCTGTTTGGCTCAGTAGTCTGCTGATTTGTGATCTATTTCAATCCCCCGCCCTTCTAAAGTGACTCGCATTATGTTACCCATCAGGAGGACCACTTTCCCCCTCTCTTCCTCTAAATCCACTTGCTAGCCAGAGGACACGTCTGTTTTGTTCCCTGCTGTTTCCCAGATGTTAGGCACAGGATGGATGAATGAATGAGCGGATGAATGAACTAACAGAACAGCATACTTCTCCAGCTTCTTGCCCCTGAAGCCCCCACACAGGCACCCCAATGTCCCTGAACACTTTCTGTTTCAGGTTTGTAAACTAGTAAGCTCAGTATTGCTCAGATGGCCTATAGTATGACTCACACTTCTAACAAGGAAAAGGAACCTCTGGGTC